GTATCATCTCATCTATGTCTACTACTAGTCGCTGTGCGACTGCCTGCGAGGGTTTAAGTATGAGCCCCAAGGCACAACGGAACGAGCATGTTCCGTAACCTGATCGGCGAGCGCCCACTGTCATAATTAATATTCCCGATCACAACCGACAGGACAACGGGCCCGTGGCTCAATGGTAGAGCGTTCAACTCCATGACCAAAGATCCCGGGTTCGAATCTCAAGTGATCCACACTTGGGGTTGGGTATGACTGGCTGATGACGGCTAATAAGCCAGAAATGGCCATTCCGGTCTCCCTTGTCTTTGTCGGTATCATCTCATCTATGTCTACTACTAGTCGCTGTGCGACTGCCTGCGAGGGTTTAAGTATGAGCCCCAAGGCACAACGGAACGAGCATGTTCCGTAACCTGATCGGCGAGCGCCCACTGTCATAATTAATATTCCCGATCACAACCGACAGGACAACGGGCCCGTGGCTCAATGGTAGAGCGTTCAACTCCATGACCAAAGATCCCGGGTTCGAATCTCAAGTGATCCACACTTGGGGTTGGGTATGACTGGCTGATGACGGCTAATAAGCCAGAAATGGCCATTCCGGTCTCCCTTGTCTTTGTCGGTATCATCTCATCTATGTCTACTACTAGTCGCTGTGCGACTGCCTGCGAGGGTTTAAGTATGAGCCCCAAGGCACAACGGAACGAGCATGTTCCGTAACCTGATCGGCGAGCGCCCACTGTCATAATTAATATTCCCGATCACAACCGACAGGACAACGGGCCCGTGGCTCAATGGTAGAGCGTTCAACTCCATGACCAAAGATCCCGGGTTCGAATCTCAAGTGATCCACACTTGGGGTTGGGTATGACTGGCTGATGACGGCTAATAAGCCAGAAATGGCCATTCCGGTCTCCCTTGTCTTTGTCGGTATCATCTCATATATATATATATATATATATATATATATATTCCGAACCAAAATGCAAGATATGCAGTTCGAAATACGGTTAAACTGAAATATAACAACCCCGTTCTAAAATCAGACACTGCGCTGGGATTCGTCAACTCGGTCACGCCTTGGGCACCAGTGCGACCCCATTATTCTGTGCTGTTCATAATGCCTGCGAGACTGGTATCAGCAAGATCAACCCCCAGTAATGTCATCCCCTAGTAATGTGTACACTGCTAAACTGTGCCTTCAATACTGAACACCGATTCGTCCGTATAGTTGAATTTTGAACCAGGTCAATGGAAATAAATTTCCACGCCGTTGCAGGATAAAATTACTAGCTTTTTTGTTTTTGAGGCTTCATGGCGTAAGTAAGTTTGCTGAGCATACTCACAAATGTGTCCTTTCGTCGGCTGCATGCTAAGTGTGAAGGAAAAATAAAACCCACAGGTCTAGAAGCCTTCTGATCTGGGCATAATGATAGCTTGACCGTCGCATCCGACAATGTCCATCGCGTGCTCCATAGCAAGGTGAAGCAGACACAGTGACTTGCACGAAACTTAGTTTATAGTGAGAGTGGACGAACACTCTCCTCCTCCTCCTCCTCCTCCTCCTCCTCACCAGGACCTGGAGCCAAGAAAAAGCCAAGAAGACCGGAGGTGGGGAGGTAGCAAGTGAATGGCGCAGCCGAACCCGCACCTTGGCGCTCCACTCCACACTCCCTGTCCACCACAAATATTTGACCAGGATTATGACCAGCAACAACAACAACAACAGAAAGGACATCGATGGCCGGGCAGCTATGCACACGACCAGCGGGAATGCGCAGGCGCATCTACCGCCAGAAAACAAGGTACTGGAGAACTGCCAGCGCACACAGGGCTGCGAGAGAGCCACGTTTGGCTGACCCTGCTCGCAGACCTTTGGGTCCAGAATCTGAACATACAGTGAGTGACCGATCTCATTAAATGTTGGCTGAAATTGTGAAATACGTTTTCGATTAGGAAGGATTACTCAGGCGCGGTGGTAATACTGATTATCTTGCGGCATAATCCTCTAATATTTCGAACTGGGCAGGATGTCAGGTTCTGAATACACTGCTTTTCAATCTCCTGTGGAAGCCGTACTTGGTGAAAAATGACTACTTAAGCAGCATGCATTTTCCCCATTGATTTTCTATGGTCTTGCTAATTAAAATATATCTTATAGACACCATGAGCAAAAATATGCTTTCTTTCAGTCGTTTGACAGAGAATCATGTCATTTTTATATTTTATACTCGAAAAGGAGTGCAATTAGGTTTTAAAAAAAGTTTATAATTATGATATTTTTTAAGACCGCGCAATGTTCATTCATATAGCATCGTACCTGTCCGTTCACCACCGTTCCGCATGAAATGCACAACACAGCCCGCATCCATCGCAAAACTTTATGGGCTGTCAATGAAATCTTTTTAAAGGCATAGCTGCATATGTGATTTTATTTATGCGGAACGCATGCACCTTGTAGACTGAAATCCCTAAGCACTAATCTAACGACTGGTCAGACTCCGAATTATTAGGATATTAGAAAATTTTTTTAAAACCTAATTATACTCCTTCTTTGAGGATAAAACAACAAGATGGCGTGATTGTTCATTAAACGACTGTTTTCTATAAAATACATTTGAATTTGTAAGATCAACGAAAATCATTTTTTACCAAGTACGGCTTTTACAGGAGATTGAGAAGCAGTGTATTCAAAGGCTGACACCCTGCCGAGTTTGAAATATTATACTCAAGATAATCAATATTGCAACTGCGCCCGAGTAATTCTTCCTAATCGAAAGCGCATTTCAGAATTTCAGCCAACATTTCACTCACTGTAATTGAGCTTAATGCTTCATCTTGGGTAACCGCAAGCTTTGGCGGCTGATAAACGCTACCAAGATGGGCCTATTGAACTAGCAAAATTCTGAGAGAGAAAGGTTGTGTGCGTGAGAGAGAGAGAGAGAGCGAGAGAGAGAAGTGAGAGAGAGAGGGCGAGAGTTTATAGTGGTCCAATCTCATCGTTAGACCCCCGACATTCTGCACTTCAAGTAAAGTGTTTCCATTACAGCGACACGAATGATTTTACAGCCAAGAAACGTGCTTGATCATTGAAAACATCGTGACCCTGATTGCCTTCCGGCCGTCAGACTCGTTTCCGCCGCCGGGAGTTGATGAGCATGGATTTAAGGAATGTGCAACCAGTCAACTTGAACCCAGATCCCCACGCAGAGAGCTAGGCTGCGGGAAACAGACGATGCAGATCTCTGTGGGGGGTTGGCAGTAGGCGCCCCACCCCCTCCCCCCAGCACATCCAGACATGGAGATCAAATTTGGTTATCTGTGTGCGGGACAAATTACCGCCTTTCTACCCAGCACTCTGACAAATGGGACGTCCTTTCCTTTCTCTCCCCCCCCCGGCCATGTAAGATTGTCCATCCTGCTAGCGCCGGTAAGGGGGGAGGCGGGGAAGGGGATTAACTTCGTTCATCTCCCAGCGCCAATCCTCACAAAGTCGGCCCAATCTCACGTTCGCCCATGCGCCCCAGCAACACCAGGTCGGGATGTGAGGGCTGCCCTGGAGGCAAAAGTGATTGCCGCTCGCACCCCCTGTTCAGACACTGCGTGTGGGGGATACCCAGCGGGTTGTCCGGACCCTCCCCATGCCGTCTGTCTGCCCACCTCCTCTTCCCACGGTGAGCGAGAGATGCTGGGGTAGTGGGAGTGGGGAGGGGTATGCAGGAAAAGCAGAGCGAGAGAGGGAGAGCTGTTATTAGCGCAAAGGTGATAACACAAATGATGACAGGATTATAGCAAGCCCTGCCCCATGGCGTCGTGGTGTTGGTGTAGAAGGGATCGGAGAGCGGAGGGAGGGAGAGGGGCGAGGGTAGGTAGGGCAGGAGTCTGCGGGCTTAGAATGAATCATGCGAAGAAGTTTATGAGAACTAGATCCGGTTTTAGGAACGACGTTAATAAAGTCATCATTTCCTAGGTGAGACGTAATTATTACCTGTTGTTTCTTTAAAAGTAACTTGACACGGTTAATAATTCGATGTTTGCTGTCACCTCGAAGATTGGCGATTGCAGGATACGCCTGCAGAACGGCAGAACACCGATTTCTTTGGTACACCGCGAGACAACCTTCCCAACCAACTGGTAATCGGATCTCTGGAGATTCAATTCTTCATACGCAGGACAAATAATAGCCAGTTGTTCAGTCCACGGACGGATAGTAGCATTTCACCAGGTTGGAAGAGTATGCGCATATATACACGCCGCAGTGTCCTTGTAGGCGGCATAATTAGCTGGTTAGAAGGCAAGGAACTTTCGTAATGGGGTTTTAATGCGGTTTCGGTGGCAGTACATACAGTTTCGGGAATATTTGTCTTCTGGGAAAAGTTCTGAGAACACAAGTTTTCGATAGTCTCGGTAAGCTGGTACAGGGTTGGCTCAAGGCTCGAAAAATCCCAAAACGGATGTGGATCTGAGGGGGGGGGGATGATAAACGTGTCATGGTGGGTGGGCAGTATCCGGCAATTATCCTGTCGAGCTATCTGCTTTTCAAGCTTTCCAGTATCGTACAGACGTTCCTGTTTAGCGAGAATTTTATGTTTACTTCAGTTTGATGAACCCTAGCTTAAATTAAGGAATAACAGTATTGTAGGATGTTGACACCGAAAGGATTTTCAACTTGTTTCCAAACCTGAAACGTTCAGTTTTGCCAACAGGTAACAGGTTTGGTCCTCAAAGAGTAGCATTAGTGAAGGACCCGAAGTAAGCTGGAGGTTAAAGGATGTTGGAAGAGGTGAAAACAGCATTTAGACTGATATTTATCGGAACGTGCAGAAGTAACATAATCTAACGAGAGAGACTGGAACAGCCATCTCTGCCCGGAAATACTGAACGTCAACACAAATGTTCACTTATTGTGGTAGATTGGTATTAGCCGGTCAGGTGACGGGATATGCTAATTCTCTTGTAGTCTGGGGTTCAATCTGGAGCCTTCGCAGGCAGCGCATAGCATTTGCTGAGACTGACAAAGACATGGTAGAGCGAAGTGGCCATTAGTTGTCATCATACAGCCATCTCCAACACCAGAATAGAACGCCGGAAACTCGAACTCGGATTCTTCGGCCATTTATTGCTAGGTCCAGCGCTACGCCCTTGACCCACGAGCCCGCTGTCCTCTCGGTTGCGATCGGGTATATTAACATTGGTAGAGAAGCCTTAACCGATCGTGAAGAAGACACGATCGCCGGGACAAGAGCTTTATTAGCCTGACGTTTCGGATTCCTGCTCGAATCCATCATCAGAGACATAAGCAGATAAGGGTGGTTCATGCACATGTGGCTGCAGTATTTATAGGATGCCGTAGCCATGCCACCGCATACCTATGAATGTTCACGGCTCCCTCCCCTTCATCAGGGATCGTTGCACGTGGCGTGATGGTCGATATTCGCGTCGTCAATTGCTGCAATTTCATCACGTGCGTTGGATGTTGGTGTGATGATTGCTCGACCATCTGACGCGCTGATCCGGGTGTTGGGAAGAGTGTTCATCAGGGCGCTCCCCGCGTGGCCAATTTCTCCGCCTAGACGAAGTCTCAGCACGCTGTATTGAATGGGAAGATCATTGCACTTGTTAATAGACTGGGGGCCAGTGAACCATGACTCAAGCAGCTCCCGGCTCACGCGGTTGTCACCTCTTGCGAGAATTTCGGCCTCGTCAAATTTGAATTTGTGGCCGGAACCCGTCGAATGAGCCGCAACTTGAGAGCTGGTGTCATTTCTCCGCACTGCTGCAGCGTGTTCGGCCATTCGCGTTCGGAGCTGCCTTCCGGTTTCTCCGACGTAGTTGCTTTGTCCGCAACTGCACCAGATCCGATAAACGACTCCAGACGTTTCTAGCCGTGGCAGTGGGTCTTTTGGTTTCATCAGTTGACGCCTGATGGTTGCCTCTGCCTGTGTGCAACTCCAACCCCCAGCGGTGCGAGAAGGCGGCCAACAGCTTCCGAAACGTTCTTGACATATGGAAGCGCTCGCCAAAATTTGGTGTCCCTGCGGTTAGGCCTTTCGTCCATTTTGCGTATGCACCGGCTGACAAAGTTGCTCAGGTAGACATTGGCTTTGAATACCCGTCGGAGGTATTGTAGTTCAGCAATCTTGTCTTCCGGCTCACTGCAGTGTGTTTCGACACGCCGATAGAGCGTCCTTACACAACTGCGTTTGTGGCTGATTGGGTGGTTACTGTTGAAGTTCAGTACTTGCATCGTATTTGTCGCTTTCCTGAACACTTTGGTCTTTAGTCCACCACAATCCTTGCGGCATACGAGGACATCCAGGAAGGCCAGCTGGTTGTTCTCTTCCTCCTCCATCGTAAATTGTATGTCCGGGAAGACCGCATTCAGACGTTCCTTGAATGTCAGCAGTTGATCCCGATCGATAAAGACGAAGGTATCATCCACATACCGGGCCCAGAACGTCGGTTTGTGGTGTTGGAAGGCCAGCGACTCTAACCGTTGCAGGACCGCCTCGGCGATGAATCCCGAAATCGGCGAACCCATTGGTGTGCCCTTCACCTGTTCGTAGATTGTCCCGTCGAACGTGAAGTACGTCCTGAGACAGAACTTCAGGAGCTGAAGGACTTGGGCGCGTCCAAGACGATTCTCCGTTTCATCGTATTTGCTTTGCAGAAGCAGCTTGATTGTCTCGATCGCCAGGTCCTAGGGAATAGAAGTAAAAAGGGATGTAACATCACGTCAGGCCAATAAAGCTCTTGTCCCGGCGATCGTGTCTTCTTCTTCAAGACTGCTTCCTGGGTCTCGTCTTTTCGCTTCTATAAACCGATCGTGTTACGTGACATATTCACCCAGTTATGCCTTGTGGCTCGATCTAGGAGCCCACCAGCAGTTGCACGACGACTAGTAATGTAGGCAGAATAACATTATTGTTTCTCTATTTTCATCCACACCATCAGATCCTACGACGCGAATGTTCCCACAGTTGGCTTACTTGAGCTCATGAGCTTGTTTTAGCAACCAGTTTTTCATTCGACCACAGCTCCTCTCAAACGACCAAAACGGGCTCCAATGCGAATGCCCATCTCTTGCTTTCTTGCCGAGGTGAAAAGGCAGAAATTTTGATCTACGGCTGTTTCATTAGTTAACTCTAAGTTGTGGGTGTGATATGTAGACAACGCATTTATTGCCGTTAAGAAGGACCAATTGGAAACGTTCCAAAACACCATCAACTCAAACAGTCTGAGAATTAAGTTCAAACTTGAGAAGGAAGTTGACAATAAACTCCACTTTCTGAATGTTCTCGTACCATCAAAGACTGGCGAAACATTACACAATCAGTTTACTGCAAAAAAACATATGTGGGAACAATTATAAACTACGAGAGCAGCGACCCAATTGTTCACAAACGGAGTACCGTCAAAAGTCTGTTGTATCGAGCAAAAACAGATTACTCTGATGAAGAAAGTTAGCGGATCGACCAAATTTAGTTTCCTGAGTCATTTTTCTAAAGTGGTTACCATAAAGATTTTGTATGCCGATGCATATGGCAATGTGAGTCTAAAAGAAAGGAACTAGATAATTCTGATCGAGCGCTTACAGTAAATATTTGGTGAAGCTTTTCTTACCTTAGGAATTTGTCCTAAATAACTGGAAGACACAAGAGAAAATACTAAATAAATGTGGCTCACAAACCGATGACTCTTTTACGCACTCAGCGAATGCACAATTTGCGTGGGGCTAACTATTCTGATAATAAGAAGGTCGTCTATAAAATCCCCTGCAATGCCTGTGATGACGTATATTATGATCAAACGGGAAAATTTGCCTTTACACACATCCACGCACATAAAATGGCAGTTAAGAGACCAGACCATCTGTCTCAAATGACCATGCACGTCCAAGGTACGAAGCACACGTTCGCCATGGACTCGCATCATCGAAGGTTGCCCACGCAAAAATGGGTCATGAGTTTCCCGAAGCCGTGCTCTCCGATGAGTCGTGCATCAATCGGCGCATTGAGTTTGATGCCGTGTATAAGAATCTTAGGGAAAATGGAAGGACGAGAACCGGTCAATGCAGAATGATGCATACGATGGCGACTTTCTGACATAAATATCAAATGAGAAACGACTTTTAAGCACGTTTGAAATGTTAACTATTCTATGCGCATTCACGCCTGACGTCGACCTGGGAAGTCAGTGTCAAAAATGTACCTAATAGCGTTTTCTAATTTTTCCAAGGAACTATATATATATATATATATATATATGCAGAATGGTATTGCCGACAAAGACAAGGGAGACTGGAATGGCCATTTCTGGCTTATTAGACGTCGTCAGCCAGCCATACCCAAGCCCGAAGTGTGGAACACCCGAGCCTCGAACTCGCGACCTGTTTGTTTAGAAGTCAACGCCTCTACTCACCGGGCCACGAGAGAGTCCATAAGGCACAACGGAACGAGTGAGTTCCGTATGAACGATCGGTGAGCGCCCCCTAACATCATATTTATATATATAATACAAGGAGAAGGCTCGTCGGTAAATCGAGGTATGCTCGTGAATTTTCAAGTCAATTACACCAACCCGTCGTCAGACGAAATGAAAAGTGTGAGGGAGTTAATTGTACTAGGGAGCTGGTGGGACATCGAGATTACATCGACAAAACAGACGTCTGTGTATGGGGGCGAAGAACGTGTTTGGATAGGTGACGGACGTTAGGGGAGGTGTTGAGGGTTTCACACTGGGTTCACTCTGTGGGGAGGTGCTGAATCCGTGATATTCTACATGACCGAACACGGATTAGCAGCTGGTGTCTTAGGGTGGGCGCAATCCGGCGAGCCGTGAACGCAAACCTACTTAGTGAGCGTCCAAGTCGACATGGCGGACGATGCTATTGTTATTAGACTGTCAAGCTTCTAGAAATTCTCGCGCCTGTTTGGTGTTGGCACTAGCGATCACTTCAGCCCCCTCCCAGTTGAAGCGGTAATCACACTCAAGGGTGTGCGCAAACACGAGGGGCAGGGGGTCCCGTCGGCGGATGGCCAACTTATGTTCGTTAACGCGGATCACAAGTCGTCGGCCGGTATGCCCAACATATTATTATATGGTCTCGGAATGCATACTACCTCTATATATGTATATGATGGTAGGGGGCGCTCACCGATCGTTCATACGGAACTCACTCGTTTCGTTGTGCCTTACGGGCTCTCTCTCGAGCCCAACCAGCAGTCGCACAGCGGCGCATGATACATAGGCAGAATGGCATTACCGACAAAGACAAGGGAGACTGGAATGGACATTTCTGGCTTATTAGCTGTCGTCAGGCAGTCATACCCAACCCCGAAGTGTGGAACACCTGAGGCTCGAATTCGCGACCTGTTAGTTAGAAGTCCAAAGCCTCCAACCACTGGGTCACGGGCTTGCGGTCCTGTCGGCTGCAATCGGATACATACAATGGTAGAGGGACGCTCGCCGACGGGGCGTGAGAGTTCCGTGATACGATCGGTTAGCGCCCTTCTACTATCCTATATATGAAGATATAAGGGATGTTTGATGAACAACCAAACTGTACTTATTAATTTTCACCGACCTGTCGTCAGACTAGATTTTTCCTGCGACACGACATCAGCTGTCGCCAGTAGCCAGCTGGCGGACGGACAAAACGGGATCGAGCAAGATCCTAACCGCAAGAGTGAGGGTCATACGCCAACTTAACATGCATATATATATATATATATGAGATGATACCGACAAAGACAAGGGAGACCGGAATGGCCATTTCTGGCTTATTAGCCGTCATCAGCCAGTCATACCCAACCCCAAGTGTGGATCACTTGAGATTCGAACCCGGGATCTTTGGTCATGGAGTTGAATGCTCTACCATTGAGCCACGGGCCCGTTGTCCTGTCGGTTGTGATCGGGAATATTAATTATGA